CGACAAACGGGCCTTATTAAGCTACAGAAAGCTCGCAGGTAAAAAAATAAAATAAATAAAAAATGAAGGACTACTTGAAGGGAAATCTTAGAGAATTCATGGCTGAGATGACGAGTGTCAGACGTGGCCGGCAGAGGCGACGAGCCTTTTATTGCTTCAAAAGATGACCTTGGCATGGATCTCAATTGTACCCCTTCCCGAGAGCGGTGTAATTAATCCCCTTTTAATTTAAATTACAAGTCTGGCTCAACAATTATGAGGGCAACGTTATCAAGATAAGATAATTATAGCTTTGCAGCGCAGTGATGCTCTTGGTTTTTTTTGTTTAGCGACGTTCCTCTGATGCCTTCTCCTCGTTTTGCACTTACAGCTTATAGCTAAAGTTTTGCCTTTTTCTTAAGAGCAAAATTGTGCTTTAATAACTAAAGATTAATAAATATGTTGTTTATTCACCAACGTGTGCCACCGTCGAGCTTCTCATCTCTCCTGTTGTCAAAAGAGGCAGGTCTTGATAGCTACGTTTTGTTATTTTATCTCAAGTCCCTGTATCTTAAGTGTAAGGCAGTTAACTGCAGGCTAAAAATGAAGAAAAAAAAAAAGATTGCTAAAGTGAACCACTGACAGCTGAAATTGCTGGTTGTACCTAATTTCAAAACTGACCGAGTTATCTCTACACTTTAATTTCTAAGATTTAATTGTGTACGCCGATCATATTTACAAACCTTAGTTGTCTCTGAGTGAAAATCGCTCAGTAACTCGACTAGAAAGCTGCTCTTAGAACGCTCAGAGTCAGAGAGGCAAATGATGTAATGCAGAACAGAGAGCACCGCGAAGCTGCAAGTGTGGATAACACCTTTTTCTTTTTTCTTTTTTTTAACCTATTCAAAGGAAGGCATCTTGAGCATCAGCTCAAGGCAGCCGGTGTGCATGGAGGATCTGCCTGTATGGGAAGTCGGGGCCCCTCTAGTTGCACAGCATTGAATTGATGCAGGCGAGATGAAAGAGAGGAGAGCTCCAGGCGAGAAGAGGATCCCAGACGCTCTGTTACACATCAAAGAAAGAAGAACCGGTGATACAATCGAGTCTTTGCGCTTCCAGTTCAACTTTATTAATTAAAATGCGTCTGCTGAATCATGCGCCCGGCCGTCCCTTCCCTTCTTTGCTCATTGCGCCTCTCGTTTTCCGCCACCGAGCTGATTACGGAGGAAAAGGCACAAAGCGAAGGGACGAACGAACGTGAGCAAACGAGCACTGGCGTTCCTGCATAGGAGGCGGCGCGCGTTCGTCGTTTGCGCATACAGACACTGCAACAACAGGTGTGCAAGACTCGCTGTTAAATCTGCTAAATAAAAAAAATGGAAGAGAGAGAGAGAGAGAGGGAAGAGGCTTGTGGGGAAAAAAGAGAAGAGGGGGAGAGTGACTGGACTGTATAGATAAACAGAGAAAAGGGCTCATTGTGTCAGCAGCTGTCTAAATAGCCCTCAGAATACCACGCGGCACTAACACACACACACACACACACACACACGCTTACATATATAGTTAGACTCGCACACACTGACTGACAGCTCCCCCTCAGTCCAACATCTGTGATGACAGCAGCCATGGTAATGAGCCTCTCCATGTGCCAGTGTGGGTATGTGTCTTCTCCCTTCCGATGCTCTGCTCATTCAATCATTTCACATCAGCCTTATCATGTTGAGCCCCAGCAACCCCCATCCCACCTCCACGCCCTCCTGATTTCGACCATATTATCTTTGGAAGGCGCACAAGTTGCAGCCAACACGAGAGCAACGGCGAGAAAAGCCTCGTGGCGGATCTGGTTTTTGTCATCCAGGTGCACTGCATTTTAAAGAGAGGTGTGGAAGAAGAAGAAGAGAGGGACGGAGCGTGGGGTGGGGTGGGGGAGAGATGAAGAGATGATGAATGACTCTCGTTAGAGGGGTAATTTGTTTCTCCTTGTCTGACTGGGCTCCAGCTGTCGCTCCATCCCTCGCTCTACTCCACTCTCCTCTCTTCGGCTTAGTGCTCTTCACCTCAGCCAGATGGGCCGGACGGATGGACAGATTGAGCCAGGAGGGAAGGACAGGTTTGGGAAAACGAGAAGACAACAAAACGAGGAAGGGAACGACGACCAGGAAAGCACTTGAGCGAAGCAACAGGCAAAACCGACTCTTCCCTGACCGAAGCTGGGGCTTGCTCCCCAAACTGAGGACGATTATGTTTCACCGTCGAATCAACAAGGGGATTCTGGTGCTTTTAGCGCGGTGCTACAAACTCTGATTTCCCCACCCCATGATACACTTCTTTTTTTCTTTCTTTCTTTTTTTTTTTTCACACCAATCAACACTTGCGAGAGAACGGCGGGTTCTGAGAGCGAGAGACGCCGGGCAACGGAGTGGAGGCCCGAGAGCTTGTATACAGATGGCCGGGGAGGCGGTTGAAGGATGGCGGTGAACAAATTGTCAAGAGAACCCAGTGAGCTCATTGCCAAGTCTTTGTTCTAATAACACAAAGCAATTTTCACTGACCTTTCTAGAAATGTAGCGGGCAGAAATGACTGCGTTAAGGATGCCCCACAGCATAATTGCTAAGGAGATTAAAGTTCCCTTAATTGCTTTTGGCCAACTAGTGCAATTTTTCCTTTTTTGTAATTAAAGTGATTTAAAATATTAATAACTACAGTCGCATACACATAGCCTCGCCGCGCACGGGGTCCAGACTCACAAAGTTGTGATAAAGCCGAGCAACAGCAGTAAAACAGTCTTAAACAGAGGCATTTTTCATTGCCTGCTGTCACCAATAGCCCCATTACGGGCCGCGTGAAATATGCAAATAGCTAAAATCCTTTCCCAACACCATTTGAGGACTGAGTGATCAACTTTTTCTCCATGCTTGTCCATGGCTCATTCAGTTTTTTTTCTCTCCCCCTCCCTCCTGTTTTCTCCTTGGTCAGCTCCCTCTTATTGCTTCCTCTAATGCTTCTCCTTTCTATTGCCAGAAGTATTGGGACACCTGTCCAAATCGCTGAATTAATGCGTTCCGGTGACTTCCATAAACGCATCCGCGTAAGATCTAGGACCTAAGATTTCAGACGATGTTTATAAAAACGGATAAAGACTGGGTCGCTGTCAGGAGCTCGATTCAATAAGCTCATTAGGATGGTGGGTGGGGGGAGTCTAGAAATTAAACAAAGTTGAGGAAAGTGATAACAGAAGCAACTCTGCGACAGGGTGGAGTTCATTCTAAGGTGCGCAGCTCGCACAAATCAACAACTTTCTGCACAGGGAATAGCTACAGAACTTTTAAACGTCTTGAATCTTTGAGATAAGCTGAGAAACACCAGCCACACTCTACATCACAGGAAATGCGGTGCACAGTGTTCCAGTGCTGTTATGCATGCAACTATTGTACGCTGAAGCAACCGAGATGAGTTCTCTGGGATTGCAAACCGAGTTTAGGTGTGGGACCTTACCTGACTGCAATGTGCTAAGTTTTGGTGGATGACGGATTAGAGTTTGTATTTGCCCCATAGTTTCAGCAAAGAGGCATACCGAAACATCTTTTTGTTTTTTCATTTAAGCTCTTGCTTTAGAATAAGCAGTCTGGAGATGGCCTATCCATTTCCAACTTGAATTTGCACCAGAAAAATTAGATGAAGCAAAGGCCACAAAGATAGATGAACAAGTTTGGGGTAGAGGATTTGGACTGCCTTGAGCTCCACCTAACAGAACCTTTGGGATTAATCAGAAAGGGGACTGGAAGCCACGCCTTCTCATCCAACATCAGCGTCTGACCTCATATATGCACCTGGGAGAGTGGACGAATATTCCCACAAACTCTCTGTTAAACCCATGAACACTCTGTGATGCCACAAGGTTAAATATGTTTCACCTGCGAAGTGGGAAAGGACAAACACATTAAAGTACATGCGTCAAACTCGAGGCCCGTGGGCCAAATCCGGCCCGCTGTAGCTTTTTATGTGGCCCCCCTAGATTGTAAACTGAACACTAAGTGTGCTTAAGTACTATTACAGTTTTTATCTGTTTACTGCCAAATTATATCAATCAATTGAGGGACTGATTGAGTCCCTCGACTGATATATCATGGAATTATCATTTCCATGATAATTCTTAGGAATTATCATGGAAATTCAGACAAAATCAACAAATACCCGCACTTTTTTTGTACTAATAATTGGGAGTTTATTGCAGATTTTTCTCAAAACTTGTCAAAAACTCTTACTTGTACTAAACAGCTGCCTCAGATTATAGAACGTGCTCTATACAGCGAGTAATAAAAAGTCTCATTTACCGTCACAAATAAGCACAAATATTGCACATATTTCCAAATTAGTACCACAAATATGGAATCCTGGAGCGACTGAAAAAATATTCAATAATATAATTTGATTTTAAGAATTCATGGATATTTTAACAGGTTACTGAACAGGCTTTATCAATACATTTGGCACTAGCGGCCCTTTAAGAGAATTCTTGATTTTGATTTGGTCCAAAACGAAAATGCATTAAATTGTATATGTTAAGGAATTCATGCCATTTAAGTTCATGTATAAAGATCTGACTACACATTTGGCAAAGTAGTGCATCTTCCAGGCTGGCATCTTTATTTTCTTTTCTGCCTTCTCGCTGTTTTTGTTTCTTCTTTTCAGTATTTCTATATCTCTGTGTTTCAGTCTCTATTCCCTTAGATACTCCTGTGACCTTAACGTCTTCACACCTCCTCATCCGTCTCCCACCGTCCCTCCCTTTTCCATCTCCTTTTCGCTCCTGTCAGCTCGCAGTGTTTGCTTTGCCACTGTTTATCCATTTTTCTCTGTTTGCTCTGATGAGATTGACCGAATACACACACACACACACATACACACACAATGCACGCGCAGACAAACACGCACATACCTAAACAGAAGACAAGGCGGGCGTCTCTCTGGGGTGCAGTTAGCGTGGGGCTGCGGATCGATCCTGGCTCTGGTTTCCGCGATGCAAAGCTCCAAGGTGGAGCGGCTCGGACAGCAGGACAGAAGCGTACCGGTCCACCTCTGTTCCTCTCCAAAGGTTCTTCACAGAAGGAAGGAGGACACAGAGACCCGCGCGTGTAGATATGTCAGAGATTCATGTGTTAACATTTTGACTTGGGACAATCGAGGAAGGTAGCCAACAAACACTTCCAAATGTTTTGGTTCTCAAATGACGTCTGCATTGATTGTCCCTCCCTCCCTTCCACGACCAGGTAGTTTTTCCCTGATGCGAGCAATATCGCACAGTCATCTGGAGAGGTCCGCCATCTATCACGGCCCTTTGCAGATTTTTTGACTTCTGTCATTTCTGTCAATATTCAGCATGGCACAGCGAAGGCCGTCAAATTAAAATCGCTCCATTTCCGTATCCTGGGAAAGTATCAATAACGCAAAAAGAGGCGCTTGGGAAACAGAAGCTCCACTCAAGTTTTGCAACCTTTTCGTATCGCTCATTGATTCTCCGACTGATTTTGTCTGACTGCGAAAAAAAAAAAAACAAACAAAAGTGAAGGGTTGTCTGGGTGAGGTTGCAAATGAAAGAATAAACAATTGTGGAAAACTTATTTGAACTTCACAGGAAAAACAAGGTGATTTGAAAGCGTCACCCTCAAGCTATAATTTCAACTACAAAATCAGCAGAAGACAGAAGTTAGTCTTTGGTCGGCTACCTAATTAGTGGCTCTAATAACCCGAGTCCTTCAGTGGATTCGCTGGACTCAGTGGCCTCATTCTTACCATATTGTTGATTGATTGAGCTGCAAATATGGCAGCCATAATTATTCTATATTTTGAGCTGTCTCTAAATAGAATTTATTAGATTTGTCTTTGTCCTTGATTCCAAACCTTTGGAGAGTAGTGTGAATTGTCTCCATCCGTCTCTCTGGTGGATGGGACAACCTGATTGTGTCCATGCATCCCACGGCTCCAACTATTTAAAGACTCCACTGTTATTCCCTTTGTCTTAGCCACGTATATAGAGGACGACCGAACGGTAGATGAAGGTTCTCGCTAGCAATTCTTTCTCACCATTTGTGACGAAATGAGACTGCGTGAAATTTGACAGGGAAGACGACTCATGTTTGTACTAACAAGGGAAAACGTAAAAGAAATCATGCTTAGCAGAGTTTTTTCTGTTTGTTTTTGCATTTGGTAATTGTGTCTTACTGGTGGTGTGTAAAATAAAGGAATGTTATTTGTCCTCAAGCAAGTTTTCCATTGCTTGCTTACGTGTCCAGTGAACGGGGAGTGGATGTCCCCTTGTGTTTGCTGTGAAGGTTAACGGAGCTACCAGGAGTCCTGCTTTGTGAATTTTTGAATATTTTTTCGTCAGTCCTCCTCAAATTGAGATGGAAATATAAAGCTTCACTTTATATAAAGATATTGAGAAGCGTTCAGGCCATGTTTTGCTGTATATAAATCCAGTGACCGTGCGTAATTGCGGTGGTAATTATGGTCAGTCAATCTGCGCCCACATAGGGGTTGAGCGCGCGCTTTGTCATTAATGTTTGCTGGGCCGAAATAGGTCGTTTGTGGGAGAAATCTGTTCACGAACCAAGAATATTTCTGCAAACAGGAAATCAAACACAGAGAGAAGCAGAAAATACAACACTGGGGCATTAGCTTATCGCGGTAAATCACATGTTGCGCATGTGCTGGGTAAAAAGGTTTTGTGTGCCAGAAAGAGCGCCTGCTCAGGGTGACCTCCAAGTAGTAAGAAACCCCTGGTAAGAAGAAAGAAACACAATCCTAAAAATTTAATGAACATACCAGTGACATTGACTTTTCATTGGATCAGAAAAGAAAAGAACCAAAGACTGCTAATGTGTTTTATAGCGACACTATTTCAAATCAGGCTTGTCAGGTTTTTGAGTTTGTATAGAGAATGCTTCATCTTCCTGTTATTAAGGTCTGGAAAAAGAAAATTTTCTAACAGGTTCACTGAATGACTTGGTGTCATAAAAGCCACATTGTGATTCTTGATGCTAAGTTTGATTTTTCTACTGTAGATCGAGCGGGTTCACATTGGAAATCTCTGATTTGAGCCAAACACAATCCGTAAATGTTCTAATTGTTTGAAACAGGAATCCTCTCATAAATTTCTCTCACTTCTCGTTTGATATTCATCTTTTGGTCTTTTTTTTTTTTTTTTTTTTTTTTTTTTTTTTTTTTTTTTTTTTTGGATTAACTGCCCCTTTAGAGGATTTCGCTTCTTACCCGTCAAAATGCCCGCATCTCATTTTGCCTCTGTGACCCTCATATCACTCAGTCATCTGGTTTGTCTAACATCTTCCTCTCTTCCTGTCCCCTCCATCCTCCAGGTCGCCCACTCCCTCCAACCTCCTCCTCCACCCTGCTCCCACCGTCCCTCCCGTCCTCCTCGTCCGCCCCTCATCACCCCTCCCCCGGTCCGTCCCCACCCATCAGGGAATGCCAGGTTCCCCTGCTGGAGAAAAACTCCACCCACTCCCACCTGGAGCCCCACCGAGATGACTCGTACCTGCTCCGGGCTCAGTCCGCCTCCACGGGTAAGCGAGTGCTCCAATCCACCACATTTTTTATTTTTTTTTAATCTGTCCATATGTTTTGTGTTTGCATTCATAGCCAATCCTAATCCTCTGTCCTTACGTTGTACCTCCAATCTGCAAAAAAAATAAATAAAAAATACCATGCTAATCCTTGCTTTAATAGCTGAACTGCTTTTATTTGCATTCTGCTAATGTGAGCATATGTTTGAAATGCTCGAAATCAAACAGAACGCTGTTTGCATTATTTATAAAATAAATGCGTTGAAGTATGTTTTTTTCAAATACCAATAGACTTCAGTCAAGATGTTTTCAGAACAATCTTTCAGCAACACAAGCACAAGAGAAGACAATGACGTCACAGTTGAGCAGTTTTACAGTGTAGGTCCAGGCAAAAGCAGAAGAACATTTTAGTTAGGAAGATGAAGAGGAAGAGGAGTTGACATTTCTATTAGAGCTGCTAAATGCCATGGCAAGTTCTTGACCCACACAAACTAGAGTTTTATTCAAATGTGAATGTGTGACGTACGATACAACACCGGAGTGTAAAACTGAGGAGTTGTGATGTCACTTGAAAATATGCACTCATTTTTAAAGATAAAACCAAAAAAACTGCAAAATTCAAACTCAGTCCAAGTTGGAGTTTTACGTTGTTGTTTTTGTTGTTGTTGTTGTTTGTTGTGCTCATCTAACCAATTCTGTGCCTGTGGATAGAGCATCAGATGCGCTAACTTTTACACAACAATCCAGCTCTGGGTTGATTTAACACAACAACTAAATTGGTTTGGATGACAAATGTTTTGCACTAATGTTGCCAGTATAAAAAGAACCCATAAGATGAATAACTGGTCATGTTGTATGTGGATTAACTTTTTTATTCTGAGTTGAATTTGGCCTTCAAGCTCATCTTATTAGAGTTTTAGGTTGGAAAACATTCTTCATGCTCAGTGTGTCGCTGTAAATTTGTATTTGAACCATTCATTCAATGGTGGATAAATCAGATGGAGACTTCTTTTATTTTTAATTAAATTAATTTTATTTAAACTAAATACTAACTTACGATGGAAGCTGTAAGGTACGAGTTGTCCGTCAGAACCACGCTTTGTGTTCTTTTAAATTTCAGAGTAACTGAGGCCTCATCTATTTCTACGTAGAGACTTTTACTCCAAAGCAGACTTTTCTGCACCATTATCAGCTTTTAACTAATTTATTATACTCTGCTAAATGCAGAAAGGATTTTTTAAAGACCGGGTGACCCAAATCCTGATCTTATTGCAAAGAATAGACTAGGGATTTTTTTTTTACTTCTTTTTTTTTTAATCGATCCCAAAAGAACTGAACTGGATCCCGTTCTTTTATTAACAGCAAGTTTTGGATGTGATTTTGCATGATGCAGAAATCTGACTACTTTATTTGTTTAATTAGAATATTGCATGTTTCGTTTACTGTTGAATGGTACAAAAAGTTACAGTGCAATATATTATGATATGACCACGAAAAATGTTTGGACACCAAACTTTCGTAACCCAGGAGTATGTTGAACGAAATGAGTTGTTTTAAAGGTTTTATTGGCTCCAGTTGTCTTTATTTGATAGTTAATTGGGTAATGAGAGAAGAGGGAAGACATGCGGCAAAGGTCACCAGGCCGGTGGTCGAACCTGCGACAGCCCTGTTGAGGACTAGGGCCTCCATATGTGGGTTGTGCTTAACCTCTGCACCACCACAGCACCCCTGAAATGCATTAACTGAAAAAAAAAGTATGTAAATTTGGGGGGGAATAATATATATATTTTTGAAAAGAAATCTCCTGAATATTTGCTGATATTTGCCTTGGCCTTTTGTGTGTCTCTTATGACAACTCTAAACAAAAACTAGTTGACTTTTAAAGGTATTTCCTTTTAAAATGTCGCCCCTGCCACCTTTTAAAACCATCACCTGAAAAATAATGATGCAAGTTAAGGCAACCCTTTCGCTCCGCAGCACGACACAGACGCCAGTGAGCTGGTGTGCTTGTTCTTATTTTGCATATGACATTAATAATCCATCAGAAAGTGAAAGGTAAGGGGATGATGAATTCTCAGCGCCAGGAGGAGGATCAGCGTTGCAGAGACAAACTAGTTACTTTCCCTGGCTCAGAGGGTTTCAGGTCGTCACCAGACTAGCTCTCGTCGGTTGTTCCAGGCACATCGGCACCTCGCCGCGGCTTTCCTGCCTGGCACGCTCAAACGCGCGGGCAACACATCCGCAGCGACGACTCCGTTCGCCATTACGAGCGTTCATCCTTAAACAAATTGCGGGCCAACTTTCGGGCTCTCCACCTCCCCTTTCCCGTCGCTCCTCCGTCCCTCTGTGCATCTGCACTTGTAATCAGCAGATATATTTAGCAGAGGCCTGATGGGAGGGAGCGGGGTGGGCAGAGAAGTCCTAATGTGATTTTTGGTGGAATACAATCTATTGTTAATGGCGTTAGGCTCTCCTTTGATCCAGTATAAATCTTCATTAGGGAAGGCCCGGGTCCCAGGTTCAAGAGCAACGTGATTAGGAGGCTTTTAAAATGACGTTACATCAGCCTTCTAATTGGTTTACTGTTTGCTGGGGCAACATCAATCATTAGCCCAGTAACCGCACAGCAAATAAATTCACTCTGCCACTGACACCCTAATGGCAGGCACTGGCAAAGTGGGAGAGTGAGGCTCACAGGCCTCAGTCTCTCTTCCTCCCGCTCCTGTTCGCATACACCCACACTTTGTGTTCTGGGGCGCTTCTTTCAGCATGTACACGCAGCCGGCGAGCGAAAGGAAAAGAAGAAGAAGGAAAAAAGAAAAGAAAAAAAACTTATAGAGAAGCACGAAAAGGAGCCACAAAGAGGCAAATGGGAGCAGAGATAGAGAAAGTCAAACTTTGACTTTTGAAGCTGTTTAATGAGACATCTCGCGTGGAGGAGAGAAGAGAAGAAGAAAAAAAGCAACAGAAGGAGAGCGAGACGAGAGACATCCAAAGCACGGCAGCGAAAAAAAAAAAAGAAAAAAAAACAGGCAGAGAAAGTGACTGAAAAGGAGATGCATAGGAAGTCAAAGATGTGGAGAAGAAATGGAAAGAAAAAAAACAGAGTAAACTGATGAGAGCTTAGAGAGTGAAGGAGCGATATTTGGTTTGGAGGGAGAGCAACATTAAGATGAAATTGCAAATTGCCGTATTTCCCAGACAGGACTGCTGTGGATCTAATGGGTGTGGAGAAAGTTCTTGGCTTTGGGCATCCATTAAAATCGACCTAAATGAGTTTAGAGTGGCGGTCTGGCACTACATAAGCGCACCCTGGCATGTAAGCAGAGGCGGAGGAAATTTCAAAGCAAAACTCGGCAAATCATTGACGGTATCACCTGCTTTCTGTCATACCA